TAGATAATTTTTCTCATGAACCTTTAATTGTCTGGAAGCATAAGCTATAACCTTGACATTCTGTATTAACACACAACTCAAACTAACTCAAGATTCATAGCAGTACACAACAAAACCTTGAGTACCTTTTGGTAAAGTACATAGTGGGGCAGTAGTCAACCTCTTCTATAACTCCTCAAAGTTTTCTCACAAGCTTCAGACCATTGGAATTTAACTGTCTTTTAAGTCAACTTTGTCAAAGGAGGCAAAATAGACGAAAACACCTCAACAAGCCTTCTATAATAGCCACCCAACCCCAAGAAACTCCTTATATCAATTGGAGACATGGGTCTAGGCCAAATCTAAACTACTTCTATCTTTTGAGTAACCACTCTAATCCCATCTCTAGAAGCTATGTGGCCCAAGAATGCCACAGACTTAAGCAAAAATCACATTTAGAGAACTTGGCATACAATTCCTTATCTTTCAAAGTCTAAAGGACTATCTTAAGACGACTAGCATGATCTTCTTCATTCCTTGAATAGATTAGTATGTCATCAATGAAGATGACAACAAAAATATCTAAATAAGGCCTGAAAACCCTGTTCATAAGATCCATGAATGTTGCTGGTGCATTGTTCAACCCAAAAGACATAACCAAAAACTCATAATGCCTAAATCTGGTTCTAAAGGCTCTATTTGGAATGTCACATTCCTTAACTCATAATGATGGTAGCCAGATCTAAGATTAATTTTCGAGAAACAGGTGGAACCCTAAAGTTGGTTGAAAAGATCATCTATCCTTGGAAGAAGATACTTATTCTTGATGGTAACCTTGTTCAATTGGCGGTAGTCCATGGACATCCTAAGGGAACATTTTTTCTTTATTACAAACTAGACCGGAGTGCCTCAAGGGCAACACTTGGTTGAATGAAATCTTTATCTAACAGATCTTTCAGCTATTCTTTCAACTTCTTTAACTCTGTTCGTGCCACTCTATATGGCAGAATAGAGATAAGACGAGTATCTGGAATGATGTCTATGTCGAAGTCTATTTATTTTTCAGGAGGTACTCCGGGTAGATCGTCAGAAAAAACTTATGGAAACTCCCTTACTATAGAAACTGACTGAAAGGGAGGTACCTCAACACTTGAGTCATTAACTCAAACTCAGTGATAGATACACCCCTTTGAAACCAACTTTCTCGCCTTAAGGTATGAAATGAAATGACCCTTAGGCACTGCTGAACTACTACACCACTCTATAATTGGGTCATTAGAAATATAAAACTTGACGAATCGGGTTCTACATTCTATTAACGCATAACAGGAATGAAGCCAATCCATACCTAAAATGATATCAAAATCTACCATGTCTAACTCTACTAGGTCAGCCATGGTGTTCTTGTCATTCAAATAAATAGGACAATCACGATAGACTCATCAGCCATGGTGTTCTTGTTATTCAAATAAATAGGACAATCACGATAGACTCATTCCGCTAGAATAGACTCCCCAACAGGGGTAGAATCAGAGAAAGGTTCAGAAAGTTTCTCAAGAAGAATGTCAAACTAATTTGCAGCACAATGAGTTACAAAAGATAAACTTGCTCCTTATTCTAACAAAGCATAATCATCAAAAGTAAGGACTTTGAGCATCCCGTGACAAAATCTGGAGAGTTCTTTTGCTCTTGGAAGCTAGTCATTCCATAGAGGCGGTGTGCCCCTCCGCCAGTACCAGAAGTTGCTCCTCTAGGTGCATCCATGTATGGTGGAGCAACTGATGAAAAATGGGTTGTTATCCCCATTACAATTTCCCTGTTTGTTCTTTGGACATTCTCGCATGAAATGACCATTATGACCACACTTGAAACAACTAGTGGAGCCATCACGACAAGTACCCGAATGGTTTCATCCACACTTGGCTCATACAGGAGTCTTACTACCTCTTTATGCCACGCTACCCTGAGAATACGTAGGTTTAACTCTGTAACTTTGATTGTTGTACTCACATTTTTTCTTGGTGCAGGTGCACTAGCCAATGAAGGAGCATGTCCCTTTTGTTTCTGCTGGAATGATGGCCGATGACATTGCTCTTCCCTGCCCGAATTTATTCCCAGTCTTAGCTTTCTTATTCCTATACTCTTCTATGTCCCTCAGCTTCTCTTCTTCAACCTTCTACACATATACCATCAACCTAGATATGTCAATGTCGACTATCAGCATTACAGCTCTGCCCTCTTTTCTTGAAGCACGACCCAAGCCAGCAACAAAAAAAACTATCCTGCTCTGCATGTCCTTAACCATTTTAGGATCATAGTGGGACAACTGGGTGAACTTCAACCTATATTCATGCATATTAAATATGTCCTGATTAAGGGTAAGGAACTATCGTACCTTTGCCTCTTTCAATTCTCGAGGAAAGAAACGCCCCAAGAAAGCTTCTTCAAAGCAAACTCAACTTGGACGTGGTGCATCCTCATCTTTGTCCTCCTTCCACTGATCAAACCATGTTTTAACCATAATCTTCAATTTATATGCAGCTAGCTCAACCTACTCAGTATCAACCACATGCATCACATCAAAAAACTTTATTCAACTCTTCCACAAAGTTTTCTGGATCCTCAACGGTGCTCAAACTAGTGAAGCTAGGAGGATTCAGTCTCAGAAATTCGTGAGTCTTTGATGTATCATCCTTTTCTTGTCGAGATCCTCTCTGTTACTCGACTTGGTTAGTCACTGCTTGGCTTAGCATCCAGATCACCTCACGGAACTCCGAATTGGTGACTTCCCCTGAGGTTGCACGTTTGGTGCATTAGGTACCTCTGGATTCTCTACATTCCTTCTAGTTGGACGACCTCTTGATTCTCTTCGTAGAGGCATGATGATCTGAAATTGCAGCTTGTTAATCATAGATGTGGTGCTTTTCACACCGATAACTAAGACTCTACAATACGACTTCATAAACTCCCTAGGACTCTTGAACTCTATGCTTTGATACTGATACGCTCAAATTACTTCTCAAATAAGAAGTAAAGCGGTCGTGTCAAGTAAATAATCCAACTAGTGAGGTTGGGATCGTTCCCACGAGGAAAATAGTTTAGACTTAACTTCAATTTATTACTATTAATGTTCAGTCAATTACTTTCTTGGAAAGCAAAAATGATAAAATGGGGGTTTCTATTCCTAAATAAATGAAAATAACTACCGAAAAAGGAGACAAGTAACAACTTCAAATATTGGAGTTTAATCAATTAATCAAAGTAAATAGGGTTTACGTGTTCCCCACAGGTTCATAACTTGATAAGTCTAACTATAACAATTCTTTCCTAGTATCTTGCATGCAAAGTGATAAGTTATGTATTTCTAAATCCTTAATCCGACATCTAAAAAATATTACTCCGCACCTTGGTCCGGCTACGTGTGTTGCTATCCTAACCCTTATCTTTACCTCATATTAAGCATCTTATTCGATATTTGACTAAGTTATTACCTCGTACCAATCAAATACTAGCCTATTAGATAGTATACACTAAATCTATGTTGATAATTCTTTTCCTATTATCTACCTCCTTGGTACGGAAAGTAGCATTAAGGCGAGTTCTAACGTTGACCATCCGTTAAAAAGACTTCTATGCGAAAGAATTATCAATACATGCAAGATACTATTCTAGAAATTGTTATTTTAGTTAGGTTTTACCTCATTATTTGCCTATGGTTCCCACAACCCTAGTTATGGAGTTTAGTTACCCATAGTCATAATCACAATATTCAAATATATGATATAAGAATTCATGTACTTACTTCAATGAGAAAGAGTAAAATCCGAAAGTTCACTTGATTAATCAGCAAAAGTCACCAACAATCAATGATAAAAGTCTCAAGATAATCAATAATCTCTCAAAGAGTCTACAAAATAATCAAGAGTCTCACAATATTCTCAAGTCTAACAATGGTCCAGAGTCTAACCTCAAAAACGAGGTTTTTCGAACTATTTATAGAAAATAAAAACCTAATTAGACAAGGACTCTATTTGCTGAAATCTGTCAAAATGCGGCTGGGTCAACGGACCTCGCGACGGATCGTCGTGGTCACGACGGGCCGTTATGGATTCCGTCGTCCCATACTTGTGATAATTTCTTCTGTTTCTCTCTTCATTATCCTCGACGGAAGGTATGATGGATCTTTACGAGCACAACGGTCCGTCGAGGGTCTCCGTTCCAAAACACTTGAACTCTTGGAATATGGGTACCGGGGCTACTTCTCTGATCTTCATGACGAACCTGTAGGACGGACCGTCATGGCTACGACGGTCCGTCACGCTTTTCGTAACCCCACACTTGGTCAGACTTCCATATCTTCCTACAACAGCTGCACTACGCTGCCACCTACGGACCGTCACAAGCTCCGTAGGTGGTCTCTTCTGCATTTCTTCGCTCAAAAACCTCCGCATTCATCTTTGGATAGATTTCATGGAAATAAGGAGAAACTTATATAAAAATTAGCACAATAAGGCTTTTGCACACAGTAAACTTAAGGAAAAAGTATTAATAATATCGTGAAACCACGGTATATCAGATACCAAATTTTTCATGACCCGAGCCTACACACTGGACGTGGCCAGCACCCAATAACCATTGCTGGTATTGAGAGACCCCTTGGCATGGCTTGCTTAACTCAACGGAAGACTTAACTCAACATAAACAAGAAAAGATTCTCATAAGAAACACTTAAAATAACTATGTTGGCCAAAAATGACACTTAAGTCTCATGACAAGACATCTGAAATGTAAATACATAGAGACTCGAATCTTAACAGTCTGACTGACTATCTGTCTGAACTGTCTCACTGACTATCTGTCTGACTGACTATTCATGCACATCAGTAACAATTTCACTGGCTCATTCCCCAATTCAATTGCAACCTATCAAGTCAAGATTTTTATTGAATTGGGGAATGGGACAGTGAAATTGTTACTTTGAAAATATAAAGTATGTAGCTCTAAAAAGTTGGCAAAGATGTCTACAATCGAGCCTTGAAATTATTGGAAGAGAGAGATATGAAGCTAATTTTGTTCAGCTTTCGGATACTTGAGGGAACATTTCCGGTGAAGTTGTTATCTGAAAGTGTCAACTCTGTGATTGCAGGGAGGTTGCCAATGGATTCAGGAATCGAGCCCTGAAAATGGTTGGAAGAGAGATGTAAATTAATGAGTTTGTTTAATTTTGAGATTGTTGAGAGAACATTACCAGTGAAGTTGTTACCTGAAAGAATCAACTCTCTGATTGTAGTGACGTTGCCAAAGGATTCTGGAATCCAGCCAGATAAATGGCAATTAAAGAGGTTCAAATGCCAAAGAGAATGGAGAATACTAATAGAATTAGGTACCTTGCCAAAAATACCAATATAAGAGAAGTCCAACTCAAATACTTTTACTGAAATTCCAATGAAAATTTGGCAAAGTGCCTGTTAATAAAGGATTATCTCGCAATCTCAGCACTTGCAAATTTGGTAGATGAAAAAGTCAAGAAATCAGTTATGTTCCCACACATGTTGGTGCCTTCAAGACTTAACTTCCAAATGGAAGAAGAAAAGTTCTTAGGTAACTCAAATGATGCATCCACATAGTTAAACAACTGCACCTCCAAGGTTGTTAAGTTGTGCAGCAAACTTGTCAATGTTGTTTAACTTGGATGTTATTTTAGTAGAGATCAAGTGAAATCAACTTAGACAACTTGGATAACTTTGGTGGGATCATCTTCCCTTCATTAAATATTTCAGAATTTGAATGATTGAGATGAGTCAAACTAGTGAGTTCACTAATACTATTTCCAAGTGGAAAGAGAGTAAATAAGGCTGTTTTTATTATTTTTTTCTTTCTCTTTTTTCTAATTAAATCAAAAATTCTCCTCCACCTCAAACTCCCCACACTTTTTCTTCTTCACACTCATGCTATACTTTTTCTTCTCTTCACTTTTGTTTTATTTTTATCTTTCATCACAAATCTATTCAGGAATTCTACATATTAACCATCTCTTATCCATGATCAAAGAGCCTTTAAATAAATTTAGTTATTACACCCAAATCAAAGTAATAAAATAAAATATTTTTAAAATATCTTTTTGCCGAAATGTAACCTTTCAAACAAACACAAAAATTTCAATTTCCAACACCTGAACAAACTCTTCTCTCAATCGTTAATTTTTAATTTCACATTCTTGAATTTAACCACAAATTGAGGTATTTTAAAAATGGGGCATAAAAAAATTCAACGGAGTCATAATTTTTTTCAGGTTGATTAATTTCGATGTTTTAATTTCGTTTGCTACTTTCACCAACATTAAGAAAAGAAAGTAATTGAATTGAAAATTTATGTCATGCCATATACCACTTTTGGTATATCCTTTCATAAGTCCCCAACATGATTAAAATGTGTAGCAATGAATTTTGAGAGAAATTGTAGGGAATATGATAAAGATACTGGTCATAGAGACTTATACTCGTCGAAATTTTTTGCCATCTTTTTTATTGTCGTAATGTCAATGGATGAAAAGTGAATTAGATAATGATGATGTCTTAGTGATAATGGAGCGTAAAGGGGCATATAATAATAAAAAAGAAAACGTAGGAAAAATAATTCATTTATTATATTTATTAGGTGGAATTGGCATGGTGTTGACATGGATGTGCATGTGTTATACACCACCATACACCTAAGTGACTGTCATTATAGAGTGAAATTTTATTTTAATAGAATCCTCGTGAATTATGAGTGCATAGTTGAAAATAGATTGAAAGGATTTTTGACCATTTCTCTTCAAAGTTTGTTTAATACAAGAGAATTACTCCCCTAGTCCTAATTATAAAAGTCATTATTTTTAGTCCGTCTAAAAAAAAGGGCACATTTTTCTATTTAGTAATTATTTACCTTTAAAATTAAAATGATTTATAGTCATACAAACATCTGTGACTTATTTTAGATCATAAATTTAATATATATATATATATATATATTTTCTTAACTCTATGACAAGTTAAATTACATTAAATAAATTGAAACAAATAAGGTCTTTTAAATTATAAGTAAATTCAATAAATTACTTTTGTTTTGGATAACATACCTAAGTTTTGTTCTTTTTCTTCTTTTTTTCCCCTTCAAAATATATCTTTCAGCACAAGAACTTTACCTTTTGAAACATTGCAAGATAATTAGATGGACTGGAAGATGAATTGTAGCAACCCAGAAAAAATCCCTTTCCAATTAAATTACATGCTGACCAAATTTTTTACTCGCTAACCAAAGAATGGGTGATGTTTGGTATGACCTTGAAATTGTTTGTTTCGTCGGCGCAAGTTTAACATGTTTTGACTTTTGGGGTATGTTTGGTATGGTGAAAATATTTTTCCATGTTTGGACTTCGTTTGGCTTAAATATTTGTTTATGCCATCCCCACCCTGAACTGCCATCCCCCTTCCCCACCAGGCAATTTCCGTCAATTATTTTTTAAGAAAATTGATTTTGAAAAATATTTCAAATTTTTTATTTTTTTATTTTTACGCCACCCCCAACTCAACCCCCACCCACTCAGCTAGGGATGGCAATTGGGAGTGTGCGGCGGGTTCAAAGTTGCGTAGAGCGGATAGGATGCATGATGGGTTGAAGTGGGTTTTTTAAAAGGAATGTGGGTTGTTGTGGGTATATATGATTTTATGTGGGTTCAAATTTAATTTTAAATTTTTACATGTTACAAGAGTGATAGAGCATATTTAATAAAATAATTTCTTTAAAGAATTAAAATATTCAAGATAGTAAATGAAATGACTCAATAAAAAATTACAATTTCTTACATAGTTCCCAATTGACCTCTAAAAATAATTTTTTAAGTCAGTATCCTACTAAATTAATACATTTTAATGAAAAAATGAATTTATTTTAGTGAATTAGAAAAGAAAATTAAAAAAATTATGCTGGGTGGCATGGAACGGGTTACAAATGAAAATTGTTGTTATACGGGGTGGGGTGGATTAAAATTTTTACGCGATAATCTCAACCTGCCCCAACCCCGCACCGCTCCATTGCCATCCCTACGCCCAGGCCATTCCATCAAGCCACCTCAGAAGAACCTCTGTAGAGTAAAGAATGAGAATTGAGATTATAGAGGATATTTTTGAAGGCAAATTTTGTGTTTTGTTTTTGCTGACATAGTTATGTTACCTTAATTATGAAGTTCAGATATACGCGTATGATAATTTTCTTGCCCAGCGAAATTACTTTAACGAAAAGGGGCAGGAAGTAGAAGTTGAAGAATGACCTTGAAGTTGGGTGATCTTGAACTTTCCTGAAATTTATCATTGTAAAGATATAACATCTGGGTCTAACTCAACCCCAAAAGCTAGCTCAGATTGGAGAGATTGTTCAAGTCCGTATAAAAAGACCACCAGTCAATTCCCTACTCTGACAATTATATTAGCTTATAGCTGGGTATGTTGAAGTTCGATATGACATGCTCACAAGTAGTGTCTCCAACACAGGAAGAAGTTTTCTGTTAAGTGTAACTTACACCAATAGTTTTTTGGTTTGACTTTCGGTTAGTAGGAAGTAAGACAAGATTTCAATCACCTTAATATTGAGCGAGCTAAGCACAGGCCTGACTCATCTAGTAGATAATAGAGAATTCATATTGTCGAACTAAGAATAAAACAAACTTCAATGTAATACAATACATTACGAGACAACCATACGAATAGAGTACATAGGTTGCTTATCTATTATTTGCAACAAAACTAAAGAAATCAACTGTAACAGATGGATCCATTGCTGATAAACTTGTCCAACTCTCCAGCAATCTCTGCACACACAAATTGAGTTTTTCAATATTTACGGGAAAATGACAAAGTTATCCAACAAAAGTTTTGATGCATACCTGTTATGTTGCTAATTCATTCTCAAACGATGTCTTTGACGTCCCTTCTTTTGACTTTTTTGCTTCTTAGCAGAAATTTATTGAGCAATATCTTCGGAAACTTCACATACCATTTTGGTTTTTCCAGAAGAAACATGAGGCCTCCTATCAACAATCCAAATATCATACCACAACATAAGTTATTACAACAGCTTCCCATGTGAACCCGCTCATAAAAAATGAATCATCATCATCATCATGTTCAAGTGGTGATTCATTATTGTTTCCACATTCTTTTGACAGTGGAAATCCATATAAATCACAATTTCCACAATATGAATCATTTGGAAATGTATTGAACTGTTTCCCAATAGGAATGCACCCAGCTAGATGATTGTACGAAAGGTTTAACACCTCAAGAAATGTCAAATTCGACAATGGACCTGGAATTTCTCCGATGAGTTTGTTCCATTAGATATCTAATGCTTCGAGTCTGCAAGAATATGACCATGAAAAATATTGTGAGACAGGTTGAGTAAGACAAGTGAGCTCAGACTTCCAATGGAATTTGGAATATCTCCTTCAAACCTGTTGCTTGATAGATCAACACTCGTCATAATTGACGTGATTCTCATATCAAACTCATTACCTTTTATCATCAAACTAACATGGTAAAGGTACCGTGTGTGAGTCCTATTGCTAGCTCGTGTAATTCCTATTTTTTCTTCATCCACATCCATCATACCTCTGAAACTTTTGAAAAGATTAGATGGCAAAGTTCCTAATAACAGATAGTATTAAATAAATAGTATTAAATAATATTAGTATTTACTGTGTACTAATCCTAGTCCTATTAGGATTAGTACTCCTTCCTATATCTCCTATATGTATCTCCCATGTATTCCTTTATTAGGTTAACACTTTAATACAATCAATATTCCTTCATGGTATCAAGAGCCAGAAAACCTAGATCTTCTTTTCTCTAGGTTTTTTCTCTCTTTAGGGCACCGATCGTTCCCTCTCTTCTCTTGGGCGGCGGCAGCCATGACAACCAAGGTGGATCCTCTCGATTCACTTCCTTCTGGCGTTAAACTCCTTCTCAAGCATCTTCATGCCCTGATTCCTGAAAAATTATCAGACATAAATTACCCTACATGGAAAATCACCGTTCTTACAGCCCTTGAGGCCAATTACCTTCTCAAATACGTCAATGGAAGCACAGAACCTCCACCGGCAGTCATCACCGCCACGAACAAATCAGAAAAAACCAATTCGGCCCATGCCGCCTGGAAAGTCGTGGATGTCCAGATCCGATCATGTTTGATTGCGGTCATCTCTCCCACGGTTCAAAAACACGTCCGATCCTACACAACTGCTTCAGCCATGTGGACGGCCCTTGCAACACGCTATGCATCAATTTCCCACTCTCATATTTTTTAATTGCGTGATCGTCTCCACACAATTACCAAAGGCATGAAAACTATGGCGGAGTATTTAGATGAGGTCTCCACCATCATCACAGCCCTCAACACCGTGAAAAAAATCATTCCCGAAAAAGATCTTGTCATGTGCGTCGTTCGGGGGCTCCCATCAGCTTACTCCTCCATTAAACAGGCGGTTTGCATCAGTCCAACGCCCGTTGACCTGGCTACTCTCTCCTCGTGGCTAAAAAGTGAAGAAATCAACGTGGATCTAGAGAGCAAACTTCTTCTCCGAGAAGCCGTTGTTATAGAGCCGGCCACCGCCCTCACCGCAAGCCAAAACTATCGTGGGGGGCGTGGTGGCGGCCGGTAGGGGAGTCGCGGCGGCTACGGCAGAAACAGCGGAGGCCGCGGGTGCGGCGGTCGGCAGGGCAGTCGTCCGCCGTACGACGGTCAGCAGCACGGTAGCAACAACAGCCTGCACTCCTTCGGCAGCGGCGGGCAGTCATCTTCTAGCGGCGGGCAGGGCACTTACGAGCGGGATTGTCCAGCTTGTCAAATCTGTCAGAAAATAGGACACAACGCTGTTCGTTGCTGGTTCCGGTATGAGGAGAGCCAAAATAGTGATAACCGTGCCAATTATGCATCTCAAGTCGGCCCCTCCTCTGAATGGCTGTTGGATACTAGGGACAACATGCACGTTACTTCTGATCTATCCAAGCTTAACGCTCCAAATCCATATCATGTCTCCAATGGTATTACTGTTGGCAATGGTGAGTCCCTTAATATTTCTCACACTGGCACGGGTACCATTAAAACCCCCACCGCTATCTTTCACCTAGGTAACCTTACCCACGTCCCTTCTATTAAAACCAATCTCCTTTCAGTTCACCAATTCACAAAAGACAATAATTGCTCACTCTTGTTCACCTCTAATGATTATTAGATCCTAGAAAATACTACCAAGAGGGTGATTTTTCAGGGCCCCTGTGAGCATGGTCTGTACGTTCTTCCTGGCACAAGTTCGTCTGCCCACCCAGTTTCAGAAAGCGTTCATGTGGCTCCGGTGTCTCTTTCGGCTGATGGCCACAGTCTGTGTTGGCACAGTCGTCTGGGTCACCCGTCTACTCAAATAATAAATTCTTTAATGTCTCAATTAGGTTTTTCTTCCATTCATGTAAACAATTGTGACTCCTGTTCAATTGCTAAATCTCATAAATTACCTTTTACTCTATCTGAGAAGCGTACAACTGCACCTTTTCAACTTATTCATTCTGACCTATGGGGTCCTACTGTTGTTCCTTCATTTGCTGGTTTTCGCTATTATATTTGTTTTGTGGATGATTTTACAAAATACACTTGGTTGTACCCACTAAAACACAAATCACAGGCATACACCACCTTTGTCACTTTTGAAAAAATGGTCAAAATACAATTCAATTCTCATGTTAAACTTTTTCGAAGTGACAATGGAAAGGAATATGTAAATAACATCTTTGGCCAGTTTTTGCAATCCCTGGGAATTATACATCAATCCTCCTGTCCATACACTCCCGAACAGAATGGGGTGGCTGAGCGTAAGCATCGCCATCTCATTGAAACAGTGGTTACTCTTCTACACCAATCTCATCTTCCTGTCTCCTTTTGGGTAGAAGCTCTAGCCACCGCAAACTACCTCATTAAGAGAATGCCCAGCCACACCCTCTCCAACAAATCACCCTATCAACTCCTTTACCAAGAACTTCCCAATTATATCAACCTCCGCGTCTTTGGGTGTCTTTCCTATCCTTGGCTACGCCCTCATATTACTCACAAATTACAACCCCGATCCCGTCCTTGTATATTTTTGGGCTATCATCCTACCTCCAAGGGTTATCGCTGTCTTGACCCACAAACTCATAAAGTCTACATATCTCGTCATGTCAAATTTGTCGAAAATGAGTTTCCCTACGAGTCTATTTCCTCCTCCACAAATACATCATTCATTGGTGTCCTTCCCCTTTTTTTCAACATACTCACAGGGTCCCTCACCACCTTCCCCCACACCTCCACCCACTACCCAACCACCCCTCATCACCCCTTTGACCGTCACCCACAATACACCCGCAACCACCATCCACACTCACAACCAACCCAAACCACCTCATACCCACAACATCTCCAGCCGGATCCGTTTTGGGTCCTTCTCGGCCACCCCCGACTCACCACCGCCCGTGCGACCCCCC